TCAGGCTGCACACACAGCAGGCCACGGCGAACGGCGGTACAGGAACAAGACCCGTCACTCACTTGCCCACTGCGTTCAGCAGCACCTCCTGGACCTTGGGCACTCGAGTGGCCCCCCCTACCAAGATCACCTGCTCGATCTCATCCTGGAGAGACGGAGAGAAAGCGCAGCACATCAGGACACATGAGCCGGAAGGAGAGGCACTCCTCTGTGAAACGGCGACTACGGCGCTAGCGGGGGCAGTGAAGTCACCATGGACATCTCCGCGGCGCTCAGCGCCTGCTGTACGGGGCCCGGCACTCGTGCAAACAGGTCGGCGCACATCTCTTCAAACTCCGCGCGCGTCACCCGCGCCTTGAAATCGATGTCGTCGAGCAGTCCCTCAACCTGCGGAGGACACGGAGGGAAGAGAAAGGAGAGCTTGAGTACTCGAGCACTAAGAGGTCCTATTACACACCGAGCGTATAAATGACTTGGTGCTCCTTGACTTAACAGAACAATGATTGTTCAGGTGCATGTTTAAATTGGATTTAAACTTTGTGGCTGCTTAGCAATCCAAAATGCTCTTTATACTTTATTTCCAAAACTGTGGAGCATTACAATGTGCACGTTAAAATTGTTAAAAAGCATACCTCTCTCCCACAGAGATTAGGTTTAACTTCCCTGCCCCCGTCTGCCCCTCTGTTACCTGGGACATGTGGTCAGCGTTGGCGCTCAGCACGGTCTTCAGGCGCTGGGCCTCCTTCAGCAGCTTGGCCATGGCTCTCTGGTTCTCCCGCACGTCCTTCTTGGTCTTCTTCTGCTCGTTGAACAGCTTGGCCAGGTGGTCGCGCAAGCGGAGCTCCATCTCGAACCCCCCCAGCGTGCGGTCAAACCTGGGCCAGGTGGCAGAGGGAGAGTGGCTGGAACACTTGTGGCAGTCTGGGAATGGGTTCGGGTAACTCATTTCTGGGCATGAAGCGGTGTAGCCATGGATTCAGGTTCATTCTCATCTAACCTTTGAAGCTTTTCATCCATGTTCTAGCAGGACCCATAATTCTATAATTTATTGAGAGTTTTTCTCCAATTCTTTTGTATATTCAAAGGATTTTCTCAAGGTCTGAAACTTTCAGAAAAGCAAAGCGTTACTTTAATGTACATTGGGACCTTTGCTGCTACACTACGTGAGGCAGAATATTCAGGATTCAAACAAACACGTCAAGAACTCGTTTAATATTCAGAGGAATGTTAAAACAGCACCTTCGATCAAGGGGAGGCAACTCTACAGTCCTCTACAAGGAGAGTACTCGGGTGCTGGTCAGATTTACGCCAGCCTGGGAGAGAGACCTCCACTTACCCCACCCCCCGGACCTGGAGCTGGGGCTGGACGCCGGTGTCCTTGGTCTTCACGGTCTGGTATGTGACAACGGTGGCCACGGTGCTGCCTGAGCCCATGTCGAAAAACATCACGTTCTGCGGGAGCACACAAGTCAGGGCTTATTTCAGCAGGGCGCTTCCGGCACGAGGTGGTGGCGGCGGCGGCGCCGGTCACACGTGCGGAAAGAGACTCGGGCGCCAGCGCAGAGATGCAAAGAGTCGCAGCGCGGGGTGGCGAAGGTTCAAGATGAGTTTAAATCTGGGACGGAAAAGGCCATTTTGGGACAGCACTGAAGAACATGCATACACGCGTCGTGCCTGCCCCACAGTGTCCCAAACTCCAGCGGCGTGACAGAGTTTCATAGCCCTGTGGCTTTTCCTCATTGTTATCTGCGGCTTGCAGTTACTTCTGATATGTCACATACAACAGGAGTTTGTCTAAATTGCTTTGAAGCCAGGTCAGAGGAGCGACCCCAGGCCAGAGTCAGGTTTCTACAATCTTCAATTCAATAACAGGTAACAAAAAACGTCAGGTGGGCAGCTGCGTCAGCAAGAGTAGGCTGCAAAGGAATAAGTACAGGTTTATTCCAGGCTGAAGAGAGAAGAATACACAACGTTTCGGCTGTGGAGCCTTCTTCGGGTGTACTACTTGTATTTGGCAATTTTAAGACTTTTAAGTCTTCCTTTTACTCACAAATGTAGTGCTTATACTCTCCCATAATATACATTATATGTATAATATATATATATACACACATCTGTGCACACAGAATCACAGACAGGTCTCCACCCTTCAACCTTTTTTCATTGCCTAGACAACATTGCTGGCGCTCTTACTTAACAACGAAATAAAACAGCTCAGCATGGTGCTGTTGTTGTCTGAATTGAAGAAAGACATTAAAGGGCACCTGAGCTGTGCTGTTGATGTCCTTCCTTCTAAAGACCCCGTAGTTCAAGGCCACTGCCGTGTTATCGTTGATAAGCTGAAGGACCTTCAGGTCAGCCATCTGTGCGGCCTGCAGGACTGCCCTGCGCTCTGCCTGATTGAAAAAGGCTGGGACGGTGATCACGACATCTTTGATTGCCTGCTCTGTGGAGAAGGGAACACCTCCATATAACTATAAGGAACATCAGTAGTGAATCAATTGACGAGACAATAGAAGATTATGACTTAATTAATGAAGCCCCATGTTATTTTATCTAAAATAAAAGAGCCAAGTTTGTGATTCTTGGGCGCATATCAGCGATTCATGGTTAACTTGGTCAAGGTTAACTTCTGATAATGATAAGAAGACACTTAGCATGCCTGCGCAGCAGTACTAACTGCAGTAAACCTCAGAAACTGGAGATGCTCCATTGTTTAACTCTGCCATGGAGCTCACCTGCAAAATCCTGAGCCAGGCTGCGTGAGTAGTTCAACACCATACCCAGGATCTCTTCGGGAGAGTACTTCAGCTCCCTGTAACGACCAGAGAGAGAGGCAACTATTACAACAACAAAGCACTTTAGATTAGAAGCTTGTTGGAAAATCTTTCAGGCAAAAAGATTCCATTTGAACTAGAAGAAAAAAAAGTCATCTTCATTCCTATCTGAAAGAAAAGTGATAGGTACATTTACTTCCAACAGAGAAAGTTTTTTCTAAACACGGATGTTTTTATGCTTAAAACATGGTCATTCAGAATACAATCGCTGGAAAACTCCTCTTCGGTATGCTTTAGTATTCTGAATACGCTCAACGTGGGACAGTGGACGCAGACAGTGAAAATGAAAGACAGAGACTCACTCCGTGTTTCGGAAAAGCACCGTTCCCCGGCTCTTGTCCTCCTCCAGCTGGTGCTCGGGGAAGCGTTTCCGATACAGCGCCACTTGGGGGTTATCGAGCCTCTTTCCCAGCAGGTCTTGGAGATACCGGTAGACCTGCCTGGGGTTCTTCACAGACTGGGGAAGGAGAGGACAGGGGCGAGAGTAAGCGACAGCCGCAGACACAGATCTCGATTTCCACAGCAGCTGCGTTCCTGAAAAATGCTACTTAAAGCCCACGTGAAAAGCGGCAGTGAAAAACTGAGAAAGTATGTAAATAGGTGGGATGCATCTCGAGTTCACTCACAGCTGCAGGGTTGCGATTACAAGTCCCTAAATACTACATATTCCCGTTCACTGAAGATGTCCATACAGTTGTGCTACAAGACTCTTTCAAGCTAAACGTTTGTTAAAGATTAATCAATTTCAAGTAAAATGTGATAGGAAGTGTGAGGTTAAAAGTGGGAAGTGAACACCCATAGATGAATCTTAACTGCTCAGCTTTTAAAACGGCAGTCATATGGAGCATTACAAATAGGTTTTCAGCTGATTGTTAATAGCACACCGTTTAATTTATTCATTCAGTGAACAAAAGTGTTTATGATTTTTTTAAATCATTTTTTCCCAAAAAACTACTTTGGAATTTTGAAGATAACAGATTGACAGAGGCTCACTTTATGTGTAGCTCATCAGATTGATCATCACTTCTCTCTTTAGGGTCTTTCAGAGAGAGGCATCACTGTCTGAAGCAAGAGAAGCAAGCTGGTATTTCAGACTGCCGGTGAGCCCACACATCGTCCTTACCACTCCCAGCGCCCCGTCCCCAAACACACGCTCGTTCTCCTTCAAGCAGACGGCCACTGGAGTTTTCCTCCTGGACTCCCTGTGCCACACAAAGCAGGCACAGAGCAAGTCAACACAACTTCCATCTAACCCAAGGCAGAAAAAATGCAAACAAAGAACCGTTTTTGCACAGCCTAATCGAACTCCTTTTCCCTCATGTGATTTTTTTATACATATTTTTACAGGAAAAAAAGCCTGGGCAGACTCAGATGTGAGCTGTGGCATGTTTTCCTGGGAAGCCCTACCTACCTCAGAGGGAATTCAGTTCTGTGCTGGGCAGAACCTGCAAGTGAGGTACCTAAACACCACCCCGAAATATGGAGATCTACAGATAATGTCCATTCACGTCAGAGTGCGAGTTACAGGAGAACAACTAAATGACATCTACAAGTTGGTCTTTTCCACTTTTCCATCGTGTGTTATGTATTCAGATTAGATAAATTGAAAATAATTATAATCCTCAAATGAATGACTTGTATGACATGTTTGACTTCAAATGAGTCAATGGTCTAATTATAATGGTAGGCGTATAAAGGGGATACCCCAGCCTTAATTTACGAACACAGCACCAGCTGAATAATTTACATTCCTGTCACTCTTTGTTTTACATACCTTTGTAAATCTAAGTTTAGAACTGAAAGAACCTCTTACTTGTTCAGAACAATCTCCATTGGCACACCAGGTTTGACTATTGCTATCTTCATCCACTCACTGCCCAGGTCCACTGACATAACTGCTACAGAATCTGCATTAAAACACAAAATAATTTATAGCCACAACATATTGGTCATTCAGGTTCCTCAGCACAAGTGCCTGTAATAGACGAATAAAAGAACACACAGTGACCATTTCACTTCCAACATCAAAACTGCTCTAAAGAGATTTACTGAAAGAGTTACTGTTGCATTTGCTAATAAACAGCAGTCATCAGTTCATGTATTAACACTTTTCTTTCTCATATCTTCTGGAACTAATGTCTGTGGTTATATAGGACTTCTCCACACAGGGCAAAAGCCAAACACTAGAATTTTCAATTTCCTTTGCGTTATTAATTTAGCAGTTAAATATTATTTAGAAAGTTTGTAAATCTAAGAGAAGGCAGATGGATAGTACCAACAGTGTCCAAAGACCTCCAGAACTAGACTTTGCTGCCCTTAAGCTAAAGCATGGAGCGCAATTCCAGTTCAGAGGGCTGAAAAGTTATTTGGTTTTTATTCTACCTCCATTCTTAATAGCTCCACTAATTTCATTACGAAGTCATCTGCTACCTCTTTACTCAAGTGGTAACTGCGAGATTCCAAGAATGCCCGCAGGAAGCCAGCTCTCAAAGAGTGCTGTTGCCGGCCTCTGATCTGAGCTCAGGCAGCAACAGTGTAACGCAGTAACGTGTCCATACCGGTGTGAGAGGGAAGGTGTGCCACCAGGAGGCAGAAGAGAGCCCAGAGAGTCAGCTTTCCACCCATGGTCCCCTCCTGAAGGAAAGCAGCCCATTAGCAATGCAACCCAAGTGTCACATCCTTTAGAAACTGAAGGCTTGACTCAAAAGAACATCCCGAAGACCCAAGGCTGATGTCCGCCTATGCTTATGGCAGATGTCTGCTGGGAGTGACGGAGAAATCATATATTGTTAGCAAGCAGATGGTCTCTGACGATACATCACCCGATATCTTCCATGCGTCATGGGGCTTGCTTATTTATTGGAGGGAGAAAGGTGAAAGAACATGATTAATGAAACAATATACATTTTCCAGCGATTTATTTGTAATTCAAAATGCTGTGGCCAGACCCTGCTGGAAATCCTCCCTCGATATTTGACTCTTCGCAGTGTGGCAGAATTCGGTAGGCAGGCATTCATTTAGGGCTTGTTTTTGTCCAGGGGAACAAAATCATGTGAAAGCAAACTAAATTATTTAGATATAAAAGGCATATTTTCCAAAATGATGCACAGCAATGTACCTTACCTTGAACAGAAGAGCTATAAATTATGAGAGGATAAAAACTACATATTATCAATCTGACTTGTTTTGGCAACTGTCCTGTTCTTTCAGAAGTGCTTGATACAAAAAGGCTTCACCGTGCATTCAGCCCTGAATCACAAATTGCAGGAAGAGATGCTCAAAAAAGAATGCAGGCCGATGCCAAATGACTTGTAAGTGCTGGGAGGTTGCCTAATGAATAGCAAACATGCATGAAGGTGTCCTTCAGCTCTCATGGTGTGAAAAAGATTTCAAATTCATTCCGTTCCTCAGCTGCCGAGTCTATCTGAAATGTGTCCTTTCTCATTTGCACATGTCCAATAAAATTGGAGATTTGCATGTGTTCTCGGTGCTTTATCACAGCACTTTCCACATAGGCCACTGCGCATTAAAGATCTATCTGACAGGACAGTAGGGACGTGGGCAGCTGTCTGGGACAGAGGCTTGAGTTCTGGGCTCCTGGCTGTAAACGCTACAGCTGCACCACTGAACAGAGAGCTTTACACAGTACAAGTGGAACAACGTAAGTCACTTTGAACACAACTGTCATCCATTTTAATAACAGTAAGCAGACATTTTACAGACTCATGGGCTGAGGTTTAGAAGCACGGCACTGATGGTCTGTAAAGGAGCAAACAACCCAGTATATCAGGCATACAAAACAGGGACTTGATTTCAACAAGCAATGCAACTCAAGTCAAGTCACAGAACGTATATTTATTATGATTTATTTGAGTTGTTAATACTCCAAAGACCCTGGTTTATAATCAGGTGCTCTGATCTACAACCTGCGCTTTAATGACACGTTTCTCTCTATTAAACACTCATGCCAAGTACAGCACTAAGACTAACAACAGGAAGTTCAACATCCTGTTTTACTCGGATGTTGCGTCTCTAAAGCGTAATGCGTTTAAATACGGTAAAACAGGGTCAGAAACGCACCGCTTATTGTAGCTATCACTGAAGTGAACAGGGTTGATTAATTATTTACGACTGAAATCCTCATCCTATGTGTACCTGCATCAAGACAGTCATTCAAAGCCTACAAACGTGGAAACTTCCAGCCCCCAATTCTGACCTGCGCGTCTGAGCGGAGACCAAATTTATCGACCACATGTTTCAATGGATGCAACGGTTTGGCAGGTTAGGAAACAGTAACCGGTCTGGCAAAAAGCAGGTCATCTCTAAACAGATTAACGTTGGGGATTGTCTTTACTTGTTTTGATCTCTGCCATGACAGAATGTAAATAAGTTTAACGCGATCGACAAGCGAGTCTTCCACATCTCCCGAAAGCACAAAAGAGACATAGTTAACAGAAACGGACAAAATAAGCAATTTCGAGCGACGAGCCTCCTCGATTGCTTTTCTCGCTAAATGCCGGGCACAGTACGGTCAATACCTGTGCACTCTCTCACACCTATCACGAACCTCACATTCATACAGCGATGACATTGCCCAACTTACCTTGGTAATTTTTAAAAGTCTTTGCTTGTAACTCTGCTGGAACGATGCAGCTTCAATGGATGAACTAAAACCCTCCTATAACGACTACGACTTCAGTGCATAAAGCCTCTCTCTCTGTTCGTCACTGGCTTCTTATTGCCCTGTGCAGATTACACTCACCATATCCCCTCTATATTATATTTCTGGATTTTTTCCCTTTGCATTCGCCGGTTGATTTCTCAGCTCAAGGCCCAGGACGCGGCGTGATTTCATTGGGTCTCCCGGCCCTCTGTTCCGCAAGCCATTTCGTCACAGCTGACATCACGGGGCCCGCCCCCTCGACCCCAACGGGCAGCTTCTGATTGGTCCACGTCCCAGGCCTCCCACCGCAAGGATCGCCACAGCGTGCGTTTGGCGTGTTCTGATTGCTCCACGTCCAGAATAGATGGGCGTGGCTATGTGGCCTCGAAGTTGAGCGCAGATCTGTGACGTCAACAGGGTGCGACGCCTTTGTAGTACTTTGCAACTGCCTGAGACTTGTGGCCTCAGCTATGGGGAAAAAACGATCGCCTCGTCATACTGAAATATAATCATTCATAGGTGAAGTGCATGTCAGAGCAAAGTCACTCATCCATCAACTCCCATAACGTCAATTGGACTGAGAACATGTGACCCCCCTCCCCCGGGTGAGACGGTGCCCTATTGCAGGGTTACTCCCACATATTTTAGCCCCCAGTTACAGTTGGGTGGAGTGCCTGGGGGAAAGTACCTCTTCGCTTAAGGGTGTAACAGATGTGTCTTAAGCCCATAACCTGTCACTTATGAAATCAGACTCTCGTTCTCCACGGCTGTACTATTAGTATGCTGTCGCCCCAGTGACTACTGCTCAGATTAACACTACAGCGCCTGTAGCGTCAACCTAGTCAAAACTTCAACCCCATACTGCTAGCCCTTACCAAGGAGGTTCTGATTTATTTGCACACTAGTGCCGATCTCGTCAATTTCCTCTGGTCTCGAAAATGGAAACATTTAATAAAACAACGAGTTGTAACGCGGCCGAACACTAGAAATTCTAAACCGCTAAGCTGAGGATGATGCACATCTCCATCCGAAATCAAAGGCAAGCACAATTAAAAAGACAGGCCGAGTGATCAAATGCTGTAGACGTTTGAGGACTTCATAAAACAGATAAGCAGTGAAGTGCAAGATGACCACTTGGCCAAGAAAACAGTTCCTCAGCCTAAAGCACGCAACCTTACTCAGTTCTACAAACCGACCAGCAAGCAGGGTAAAACAACACCCGTCACGTGATCACCCAGCCTCGGTCACATGACACGGCGGGGGTCACATGATCCCCCCCCCCAGCTGCAGAGTGACAGGGGGAAAATGGCAGCGTTCTTGCAGTGGCGAAGATTTGTATTTTTCGATAAAGAAACGGTGAAGGATCCTGCGGACAATGGGAAAAATTTCGCGCTCCCGGTCGGTATCTGTGCCTGCGACTCGGGCCGAGGTCACATCGTGCTGGGAGATATCCTTTACGAGCCTCGGTCTCAAAGGCGATCGTGGGTTGCTCCCGTCCTCCTTTTATTTAGAACGTATTTATTTTTGTGCGCATTGCATAAGAATGAATAGCGCGTTTTATAAACAGTGTTGAATGTGATTAGAGTAAAGTCGTAACCTGTTTTGTGCTGAAACAGGTGTTCCGGCGATATTATAATTTATATCACGCTTATTCTCCCTGCTACCTAGGTGTAAATGAAGCGTCTTCATCTTCCCTAAAGTACGATGAAGTCAGTAATATTGATTCTGTTCCGCATTGTATTCATAGCGTAGAAGCAGTGTATTGAAACAAGGAACGAGAAGAGCAGATCCCAGCCTTCAGCCGTGATTAGTGTTCCCGGCGCGGATGTCTTATTAACAAAAGGGGTGCTGAAGTTCGTGCATTCTCGTTATGTACCGGGCCCACACACCGAGCCTTCTCACTCCCTGCAGTCTCTTCTGGTGTCGGGAGCAGTCTGATTCCTAAACCCCGACAGCAGAAAGTGACTCACTTGCCAGTCCGTACCAAATTGGTTAATGTTTTTGTAATTCATTGTTGTATATTTGTTTCCCCGCATTTGAAAAAAGGAAATGATTAAAAATATGTGACATTGGGATACAGCGCTGCTGATATGTTTGAGCAAGACATGCTCTGTTACACATCACAGCACTTTAAATACATATTATTTGGATCTTGTATGCAGGAGTTCTGGCTGGTTTCCACTCCCCAAGATATTCCAACAATGCCACAACATATATTAGAAAATATAAGAATCGATGGGGCATAATAACAACATTTTGGGGTCTCCCTTATTTTGATATAATACTCTCCCCGCCGATATGACTATACAATAGGGTATTTGACATTGTAAAATGTAATGTAGATAAGGTTTTGATGTTTTTAAGGAAGCTGTAATTTTCCTGCTATAGCAGTTAGAAAGGAACAACCGCAGTAACGTAGTCACTGTTGATAAGACACGATCATCATCCTTAAGTCATTGTCATCACATCTGGAGGGTCAGATCTGGTTCCTGACACGCTCCCTGCAGCTAACGTCCTTTCAGGCATACAAACTACAAGTGACTCACCTCTACCAGCTGAAACAGCACAGCATCCTGGTGTCAGTGGGATTGGACGAGCACGGAATCAACCCACTGGTAAGGACACAGCCACACACACACGTGTCTCTGTGGTCATCTGCTCTATGATGATCTGATCATTTCATCTGATGCTTATTGTCGCACATGAATTTATTATAAGACAAGGGCATACAGTAAAAAAGGACTCTTTCTAACCGTTATTGTGATGGAGCGGTGAGATGTTCTTGTATTTGTATTTGTATTTGTCTAAAGCATATTCGGATGTGCTAATATGTGATGAATAGAAATGCACAAAAATCACCTTGTCAGTCTGTGAGGGCTGTGCTCAGCTGTGGAAATGTTTGCATTTGTTTTGGGGATAGTCTGGGTTAAATTGCCCATTGCCATTCAGTTTTTAAACTTTTCCCCAGTAACATAGTGGATTCTGGATTTCTAAGCATTTCTAAAAAGACAGTCTAAATTTCTCAATATAATAAGAATCATTACTGTTGCTTTTGCCTAAAATGATATAGAATGGGTTTTGGTTGCAAATTACTGTGATGAAACACTGACCTTTTAATCTAAAGCTGCTTCAGCTGCTGTTAATCTGCTTCCCTACAGCAGTGCACTAAGAAATTCCAAAACCTTCCCCACGATTTACAAGTTGCGGTGTTTCAGGTCAAGGTGTGGAACCTGGACAAGCGCGACAGTGGGAACCCTCTCTGCACTCGGATCTTCCCGGCCATCCCAGGGAACAAACCCACAGAGGTGTCCTGCCTCAGCGTGCACGAGAACCTCAACTTCATGGCCATCGGTGCGTCCAGTGCCCTCGCCCTCGCCCTGAGAGCCTCACTCTGTTTCTCATCCCATCATGCCCACAGGATTACGGTGGACGTTGTGGGCCCTGCCAGATTTAACCTGGAAAAGCAGTCCATGTATAACCAATAAATCTGCTATTGTGTGGGTTTTACATCTCTACAGTGCATTTTGACTGAGAGGTCAAACTGGGACATTACTTGCCGGACTGCCTTGGTGCATCTCAAATTATAGCTTGTAGACTTGAAGCAGCTGTAATTGCAGCCATGGTTTTGATGAGAAAATGAAGTCAAGGCACTGTTATTACTGTCCCCGAAATGCCAGTTTGTGACTGAATTGTCAAAGCGGCCTTGATGTCTCCTGTCTTGCAGGCTTCACAGACGGCAGCGTGGTTCTGACCAAGGGCGACATCACCAGAGATCGCCACAGCAAAACCCTCACCCTGCACGAGGGCACCTGCCCCATCACCGGGCTTGCTTTCCGGCAGGCGGGCAAAGTCACGCACCTGTTTGTCGCCACCCTGGAGAAAGTCCAGGTAACCCGGCCGCGGCCCTCCCGCCTGGGGGAACAAAGTGTGCATGGTAGAGCGTATCGTATTCGGCGTGCTCTGCTCGCGGCGTCCTGGGGCAGTGAAGGAGTGGCCCAGCCTGGGCCTTGTCGGGTTGTGTGCAGTGCTCTGACCCCCCCCCTCTGTGTGCGCCCATGGGCAGTGCTACACCCTCTCCGTGAAGGAGTACCCGCACCTGGAGCTGGACACACACGGCTGTGCCCTGCGCTGCGCCGCGCTGACCGACCCCTCCCAGGACTCCCAGTTCATCGTGGCGGGTGACGAGTGTGTGTACCTCTACCAGCCCGACGAGAGGGGCCCCTGCTTCGCCTTCGAGGGGCACAAGCTGCTGGTGCACTGGCACCGCGGGTATCTGGTGCTGCTCACACGCGACGCCAAGTCGCCGAACAAGTAAGAGCAGCAGCAGCAGCAGCAGCCGCCGCCGCCGGCCGGGGCTCCCTGTGTACAGCTGTCTGACGGCTGTAACAGCCATTTCAAACCCTGCAACAAGTACAGGTTGATTCCAGGCTTTGGAAAGAAACATGGACTATGTGGGGAAGCTCTTAGAAAATAAGAAGTTTGGCGGTATTATTAGACAAATTGTTGAATTTGATTCTCACTCCTGGACTTTGTTTTTCTGGAAGGCTGTGCTTAATGGTAGTTGATCTCAAAATAGTCCTTTTTTTTAAAAAAAAAAGGTTTCCTGTTGCTGGAGTTGGGGAGGGCAGGGGGTTGATGGCACCACGTGTGTTTTTAAAGCACGTGGCTTCATCGTCAGGTGTGAGCAGGTGTGAGCAGGTGTGAGCAGGTGTGAGCAGGTGTGAGCAGGTGTGAGCAGGTGTGATTGCGTGTGGAGGTGTGCGGGTGTCTGTCCCAGGTGAACCCGAGCTCTCTGTACACACGCAGGCCCGAGTTTCCGAGCCGGGAGGCCTCCCCCACAGAGAAGCAGGTCCTGACCGTCTACGACTTGGACAACAAGTTCATTGCGTACAGCGCTGCGTTCAACGACATCGTCGATGTGCTGGCGGAGTGGGGCTCGCTGTACATCCTGACCCAGGACCGCAAGATGTATGTGCTGCAGGAGAAAGACACTCAGACCAAGCTGGAGGTGGGCTCCTTTCTGACTTCTCTCTCAACTTGCAGCGTATCTATGTATGCTTTCTTCAGTTGCTAGTCAAAACGCGAGATAAGCCTGCGTGTTTAGTGCAGTATTCATCAGTATCTGGCGGGCCAATAACTCGCTGCTTTGCTCCTGGATCTTCAGATGCTCTTCAAGAAGAACCTGTTTGTAATGGCCATTAACCTGGCCAAGAGCCACCACCTAGACAGCGACGGGCTGTCCGAGATCTTCCGTCAGTATGGGGACCACCTGTATGTCAAGGGAGACCACGATGGAGCCATTCAGCAGTACATCCGGTAGGGTTTCTGACTGGCGGGAAGCAGTCAGCCAACAGGTAGCACTCAGACGTTTGGAAAGATATCTAGCTGTTGCAGTTCCATGTTATTGAAAGTTGAATGGTGTGTATATGTCTTATCAGTGGAGTAGGTTTTTGGAGTGTTTTGTGGCATGTGTGTTTAAAATTGATCTTTTAATTTCAGTTCAGTTCATCATATCTGTGATTCCTATGAAAATGTGGATTGAGTTTGTTGTTCATTCCTGTGTCCAGTCACTGTTTTATAGACTGCTCTGTAGTAGGGTTTACCTCAAGATGATCATGGCCTGTTTTTTAAGTATTATTGTGCAATATGCCAACGTAGAGACAAATTGAAAAGAAACAGAAATTTCCACAGCATGCATTTATTTCCTATTTGGATTTTTTTGCAGTATTGCACTGAATACTTAAAGGTTGAGTGATCTGCAGAGTTACTACTGACTCATCTCTCCCTTCCCTCTTTCCCAGCACCATTGGGAAGCTGGAGCCCTCCTATGTGATTCGGAAGTTCTTGGATGCTCAGAGGATCCACAACCTGACAGCATACCTGCAGGCCCTGCACAGGCAGTCCCTGGCAAATGCTGACCACACCACCCTGCTGCTCAACTGCTACACCAAGCTGAAGGACAGCTCCAAACTGGAGGAGTTCATCAAGGTGAGCCCCCTCATAGCCACAGGCTTCATGGAGATGGTCTGAGCATTGTGAAGCAGGCGCCAGGAAAACCCAACGCAAAATCGACTTCATCATCATGATGCAATCACGTATTAACATTTATAATAATAATAATAATAATCCTAAGGATATCGGGATATCGGAGTCACCTTCCCTAAACACCTTCAAATCTAGACTCAAAACCCTTTTCTTTAGAAGGTCCTTTACTTAACTGATTCTGTTGTTTGCCCCTCTGCTCCTGTTGTATTCAGTACCTCCATCCACTGTCTCCTCTCATTGAGTATATCTTGTGTATTTGTTTATTGTTGTCGTCATTCTGTAAAGCGCTTTGAGAAGCCACCTTTAAAGGCGCAATATAAAATAAAGGTTATTATTATTAAACAATAATAATGCCTGAATGTTGTGCATTGGCATTTCTTAGCAAATTACACAGAAAAAGAATGGACCAAGTACTCTAAAGGTGTTATCCCCATGTTGACCAGTGCCTTTTCTTGTGTCGTCTCAGAGCAGCGAGAGTGAGGTGCATTTCGACGTGGAGATCGCCATTAAGGTTCTCCGGCAGGCCGGCTACCACAGCCATGCGGTCTTCCTGGCGGAGAAGCACGAACACCATGAGTGGTACCTCAAGATCCAGCTTGAAGACCTCAAGGTCAGGGGAGACACAAATCAAAATGGCGTGCGTCTTTGTGTAGGGCACGGAGAAGACACGTTACGCCATTGCTGGCTGTCTGCGAACAGGCAGCAGAGATCTTTTCCTGGTACTGCAATTTTTGTTCATTGAGAAGATCAGCATATAAGTGAATAAAAGTATTGGTGCGTGTATTGTATTTTCTATAAACCATAGACTATAGAATGAGAGGAAGCTTTTCAGCTCGTCTAGCTCATTTGGTTGCTAGTAGGTGATTAATCCAATAATTGATAACTGATCAATCATTTGTAATCATGTATAATTGAGCTCTCCTCCAGCTCTGTGTTGATGAGAATCGTCTTGACAAGACTGTGCAGTGGGCGTGGTTTGTGTATTGTACAGTATTCTAGTGGGCAGCTGCTCCCTACGCTGGCTGCTAACAGAGCAGTCAAGGTTAACGGCACCCTGTAAATCAGAAAGACGTTTTGGCTGTCGGGCCTTCTTCTGATGTCCAGGCTGAGCCATCTTCACACCTGAAGAACAGTCAGCAGCCTAAACGTTGCGTTTCTCCTCTCTGCTGCTCAGCGAGGAAACAGCCTTAGGTTATTGCTCGTGCAGTATCCCGTTGCTCACAGAGGTCTGTGTTCGCGTTGCAGAACTACCAGGAGGCCCTGCGGTACATCGGGCGGCTGCCCTTCGAGCAGGCGGAGAGCAACATGAAGCGCTATGGGAAGACGCTGATGCACCACGTCCCCGAGGAGACCACCCTGCTGCTGAAGGGTCTGTGTACCGACTACCAGCCACGCCGGGACTCCGCCGACAGAGACAGCCTGGGCAGCAAGGTACCGGCCCGTCTGAGAATGAAAACGATAGCCTTCCTTACCCTGGCGCAAAGAAGGGGCATCAGGGCACCAAGCCCCTTCCGATCATGCTTTGTGCTTCTAAACCCCAGGTCTGCAGCGGTAGCTGAGAACAGAATCTCCTTGGCTATGCTGGAGGCGTGCGCGAAGCCTCATAAATGCGGAGATTAGTTCTGTCACAGATCTGTGATTCATGAAGCGTCTAATTACCAGTTGCCCTACAGATTGAAACAAGTGACTCAGACTAAAACAGTGTCTCTCATCCATAAGTCTGTATTATATTTATCACAGGACAAGCAAACAATCTCTGGATTCTGTTGTGTTTGATAAGATGAAACAAATTCCTCTGTTTCTGTGTCTGAGTAAAATGAAAGGTTCCAGGCAAATCTTTGGGTGTTAGCTTCAACCCCTGCTCCTCCCCTCCTTGGTTTTGCAGGCGAACTCGGAGGAGTTCATCCCCATCTTCGCCAACAACCCTCACGAGCTGCGGGCCTTCCTGGAGCACATGATCGAAGTGGAGCCACGGTCTCCCCAGGGGGTCTATGACACCCTGCTGGAGCTCCGGCTGCAGGACTGGGCACATGAGCAAGACCCGCAGGTGACCGGCTGGCGCCCACGCGCCGTGCAGAAATCACGCCAGTGCACAGGGCATCCCCACTGCCAACATCAGAGTGCTTCAGCAGACACTGGCATGCACAGCCACTCCAGTGCCGACGTGCAAAGTCACACACCTGGCTGTGTGTGTATTCCCTGACTGTAGTGAGCAAATGTTTAGGGGAACCGCAAAAAAAAGACTTGCAAAAATAAAATTCTGAAGGGCACCCAAATGACTCCATCAGTGAAGGTGCTACCCAGAGAGCAGCTGGAGCTCGTTGATCTGGTGGTCGTGGTCTCTAGTCCGATGTGACTGGGATTAGAGTGGAGTAGAGGAGATAATTTCCATAAATACATGTACATGCAGAAGCTGTTCTTAAGCCTCGTGGGCTGTGCTTCAACGGTGAACCCCAGCTGTGGCAGACAGTTAGCCAAGCACCACCTACAGCAGGGTGAGATTAATCGGCCACCCCCCTCCGAGACTCCCTGGGTGCTTACACAAGATCAGCACTTCACGGTGATACAAAAGTGAGACTGAATCACGTTTTCGGACAGAAAGGAGGAGCCTGTCTGCTCTTCCTCATTGCCCCCTGTGCTTTGAGATGTGCAATTTTAAAGTGTCTGTTGTTTTTTTAGAATTACTGTCCTTTCATGTGCAAATTAGTTTAGTTGGTTTGGGAATCTCTCTGTGCTGCATTGTGTGCTGATGAGATTATATTGTGAGTGTGTTAGACAGCTCTCAGGAGGCTTGCAGAAATAATACAGGGTAGTTAGAGAGTACCTCTGATGCTTTGTTTATCTAGATGGCTATGTTGCTTATGCATTTCACACATGCCGCTCTAATCTTAGTTGTAAAATAGAAGCCATTTCTCAAACGACCTAACTGCGTAAAATGTTTTGCAGTGAGTGAAATTAATCTTGATGCCTTGACTTACAATATCAATTAATAATCATCAGCCCTAATGCAGTATTGAAAATGTAGTTGTGAAATGTGAATTCTATTTGTTCTTTTTCAATGAATTTGTCCTTTCAGATGTGGTTAATGTGTCTGTAAACATGCTGGCTTTGTCTTTCCTGTGATTGCTGTAGAAGAAGAGCGCTCTGCAGGACGCTGCGCTGTGTTTGTTGAAGAGTGACTATACGGTGTTTGACAAGGCTCTTGTCCTGTGCCAGATGCACAACTTCAAGGAGGGGGTGCTGTATCTGTACGAGAAGGGCAAACTGTGAGTTACGGCACAATATGTAATGCATGGACACACACGTGCTGGGATTTGGAAGCACACATGGACACACCAAGAACATGGGCAGTGGCGGTGGGCTCTGTGGTCCCTGTCTGATTTTCTGTCTCGCGTGTTCTGCAGCTACCAGCAGATCATGCATTACCACATGCAGAATGAAGAGTATGCGAAGGTGGTGGAGGCCTGCAAACGCTATGGGGAGCAGGAGGCCTGCCTGTGGGAGCAGGCCCTGGGGTACTTCGCACGCAAAGAGGAGGACTGCAAGACCTACATCAGCCAAGTGCTGCATCACATCGACCGCAATAACCTCATGCCTCCGCTGTTAGGTGAGCCGCAATGTCTGACCTACGAGAACAAAACTGGAAAATCGCTCCTGGAGAGATTGTCCTCTTGTCTCATAGTTTGTCTTACTCTGGTATTTCAGTTATTTTTCTACACAACCATGGAGCTTCATAGCCTTTAAAAGTGAGATAAGTGAGACTAGGGGGCGTGTCTTTACGCAGAGTTTTGTGGAAGTATGGAGCAAGGCAGGATGAGATCCTTAGATCATAACTATTAGCTACAAAACCGGACAGGCGGGTCGAATGTCCTTCTCTCGTTTGTAACCATTCTTATGTTCTTATGAACTATTCACCTTCCCTACCGATGTAACCTTCACAGTTTTTTTCACTCTTAACCTCACTGCCACCGTGTATCCAGTGTCTGTTAAACCGCTGCCTTCGACCTTCCTGTGAAACAGTCGTCTGGTACTTGTGGTAGAAGCGACAACAGTGAAAATCCTGCGGCAACCACTGACGAGAAAAGTGCGAGAGAGCCTTGTACGTGATCTGTGAACCGCTGCGGGCTGTTCGTGTCTCGCAGTGGTCCAGACCCTGGCGCACAACTCCTCGGCGACGCTGTCGGTGATCAAGGACTACCTCATCAGCAAGCTGCAGCGGGAGAGCGAGCAGATCGAGGACGACGAGAGGAAGATCCGCCAGTACCGCGAGGACACCGCGCAGCTGCGCACGGAGATCCAGGAGCTGAAGAACAGGTCAGACCCACCCACGCATGCACGGCACCAGTTACTGCCCCCCGCAGGGGCAGCGCGTGCAGAAGTTATTCGCACGTGTTCATATGAGCTGATTTAAAAAAAAACACTTGTTTTCACTTGTGCCCTGTTGATGCAGCTGTGGCTCTAACACTTACCCCTCTGCCCTCGCGCCGCGCTGTCTTTCTCTCTTCCTTTGTCTCGCTCCGGTTGTGACTCGGCCCCTTTCCCTGCCCCCCCAGCGCCAAGATATTCCAGAAGACGAAGTGCAGCATGTGCAACAGCCCGCTGGAGCTGCCCAGCGTGCACTTCCTGTGCGGCCACTCCTTCCACCAGCACTGCTTCGAGAGCTACGCCGAGAGCGAGGCCGAGTGCCCCACCTGCACCCCCGACAACCGCAAGGTGATGGACATGCTGCGCGCCCAGGACCAGAAACGGGACCTGCACGAGAACTTCGCCAGACAGGTCGGCCCCCGGTTCCCTCTGGCCTCGCTCGGTTTTTCCCTCCCCTGCCGGAGACCTTTTTTCCCCGTAGGATCTGTTCCATGCCTTTCCAGTTTGGCCATGTTGAAGTTCACACTCCACCATTGAGCTGTGTCATTGAATCTGCCCAAAACTCGTAAGTAAGTAGCAGGTGAACGGCCTTGGTGAGGAAGCTGTGCTGTCACCTTCATAGGTCATCGCCAGTGCTGAGACTGTCGCTCTGCTGGATTGTTTGGCCTGATAGAAGGGAATCCCTGACCTTTAGTGATGCTTTTTCATCGTGGCTGTGACTGCTGCCACGCCAACCCTGAAATCTGCCGACCTTGGCTTTTTTAGAGGGCTGCAGAGCTGTGAGGACCAGTATACAGGTCCCTTTGAGTGAAAGCTATTCCGAATGATACCCGGGAGGGGTGTCTAAGCAGGTTTTAGTTTTGCACACCTCCTGCTGCGTTCCAGTTTTTTTGCTCTTTGTGGCTAGGGATCACCTGTGGGATTTACTGCTTCCGTCCGCAGTGGGGCAGCGAGGGTTTCAATGTTTCTGCAACGCCGCCCTCCTGTCACTTTGCATTCTCAGGACACTTATGAACAGCGCTAAATACCTCCTGTCCTACCATATCTCCTTGTGTCACTTTTGCACAATCTGTAAATTGTGCTGTAAATTTGCAATTGTATCATTTATAGTATCCTAATCCCTATAGACCTCTGTCCTTTTATCCCTCTTAACAAGCTCGTGGATAAAGCATTTCATTGCCAACAACGCCGCTGTATGCTGTACTGTTTGCGCATTGATAAGTAAACCTTGATTGATTGATTGATTGATCGAGAGATTGATTGATTGATCGATTGAGGGATTGCTGTGAGTGACGCTGAGTTTGGATTGACAGCTGCGCTGCTCGAACGACGGCTTCTCGGTGGTGGCGGACTACTTCGGCCGGGGGGTGTTCAACAAGCTGACGCTGATCACCGACCTGCCCGGGGGGAAGCCTGGGGGCAGCGGCGGCGGCGGGCTGGAGGCCGACCTGCAGCGAGACCTGCTCATCCACACCAAGAGGAACGCCTGAGACCCGGCCCAGACCCCACTGGACACGGACAGCCGCGGCCAGAGCCACAGGGACCTGCTGCAGAGAGCGCAAGGGAAGACACGTCTGACCTGTGTTAGACATGCAGGGGATGGGCAGATTCAGCAATCGGCACTGATGCACTGAGAAGAACTGCACACTCCTGTAGTGGAGACGCTAAGCATCATGTATTTGTACAGCCATCTTAATATAATGCATTGGGTGTCATGGGCGCTGTGATGAGTTTAATCTAATTATGATGCAGCATGCCTCAAGATTTCCGCTACAGCTGCTGTGACCAAGAAGTGCAAGGTTCATAAACGAGCACGTGGTGAACTAAGTGGTTTGAGGAATGTACTCGCTCAACAACTTAAGCTGGTTGTCAGTAGGTATTTTTTTTTCTTGTAAAAAGCGCGTTCAGATATTTCAAAAGTCTTTCTCCTCTTCGTCTTTCGTCTTCAGATTTCTTGAATTTCACCGTCAGATAGCAGTGAGTTATTTTTTAACCTTACAAAATGGAACAAAAGTATTTTAAAAAAGCTCACAAACATGGCAACAATAACAACATTTTTAACAAACAATTACATTTCGGCTCCTGGCCTTATTAAGGTTTTTATGGATTGATGTTTTCCATAGCAGTGGTTGTACTGATAATGGTTAATGTGATTAAATGAGCTTTGTTGAGAAGCACTTGGAATCTTTTTCCACCTCCAATGGAAAGTCACAGATTATTTTTCCCAGTTTTGTTGTAGCAGCTCAAAACAGAACATCCTTTTGACCTTTCCCCCTTGTTTAGACAGTGAAGGAAAGATGGCACGCGATAGGTTATAGAGAAATCAATTTCTCTTCGTAAGAAAAGCTTTTTGATTACTGTACTTTGTAATTCTAATATATATGCCAGTATGGAAGTGCTAAAAGATCAACTGGAAATAAAGTGTTCTGAAGGGTGTTTCTATAAAATCTCTTGCTTTTTTCTGCAGTCTGTCATTATTTTTGGCAGGATCACCTGAAGCGTGACTTTTTCAGGTAGCAGTATCTGGAACCCAACATGCAGGGAGAGGACAAGATGATGGATGATGTAGGTCAAGTCGAAAGCTGGTGCTCGGAGTGTGAGTGGGCCTGTCACAGAAACAGCAAACGTATGCAATGTGTCAAAGGGAACAGTGCTGAAAATCGTGATGGCTTTCCAAGAAGGATTGTAGCTTTTCTGAAGACAAAGCACAGCTCAGTTCCTTATGAGTAAATATTCATATATTGCTTGGTGGTTCTATTATTTTGCCTGCTCGCTGTACAGCAATAATTGTAACCATCTTAATGAACGAATACGCAGTGAGTATATACTGATTAAACATATAATACATTGAAAATGGATCAAATGTTTAATTCCCATTCAGTTTTCTTTGAAAACGTTTTCCAATGCAAAATGTGTAGATTTTATTTTTCAATTCTGTAGCAAAGCTTATTGCAAATACTTAAAACTAAAGAAACTACATATGTTCACCATAAATTAAAAACTGGACAGGGGGTCGGTTTTTTTTTCCTTGCAATACTTAAAGTCACTTAAATAGCTATGGAGATGGCTTGGGTGGAATGCGTTTATCGCACGGAGACCTTTCTAGAAAGAGAAAGGCTGGTAAGCATGGTAAAACAGTACAATTGAAAGAAAAGCTTCATTTTCAAATCCAACATGTATTAAATGGGATATATGTCCAGTGTGCAGCCAATCAGCAATTTACGCTGTTGTACGGAAATGACGTTTCGTTATCGCGAGATTTGGTCGTCCTTAGTGACTGTAAACAACTTCGTTTTAATGGAGGAGACAGACGCTGATCGACATAAGGTAATTAAAACAAATGTTTTTTTTGTCCAATAAATTACCATTTACGTTTCACAATTCATGCAATTTACATGGATTAACGTAAACGTAATATCTGTGATTGTCTCTCTTAACTGTGGTTTACATTTAAAACACGAAGCAAATGATTCCTCAGCGTGTGCACAATTAGCCAATCCTAATACGCTATAAAAAAAAATATATATATGCACGTGTTCTTTTATTTTACTTAAAATGCTATAATATGGAACACGGTGTCATGTGGTTTTCATGTTAGAAGGCAGTTTATTGTTGGTTTATTTTCTGGAGGAGGTATTGTAGAAAAGATGAGGTTGCTTTAAGCTATGGAGCCCCAGATTAGGCTGTCACCTGTTAGAAATCTTCGGATCGAGGTTTTTGAGAATTAAATAAGTCGTTTTCTGTTGTAACTGTGCAGTTACTAACAATCATGAGCACAGTGTTGGAGTCCTTCATTTGAAATTCTTATTTTAATTTAACACATTTTAAATTACACGTATTGGTACTCAATGTTTAAGTTCTAACATCGACTTATGCTAACTATAGATTCCACTTAACATGATTTAAGTTTATACTGGTGCCTACAGCAATATCTATGTCACAGGTGTGGCACGAAATATCAACAGCTTAAATGTCAGTGTAGTGTGAAATGAATGCTTAGGTCTCAAAATGATTGATATTTAGTTATTTTGTTTTTTTATAACCGTCTAATGTACTGATTTTGAAGTAGACCTAAATCATTCTAAATTTATGAAATCGTAAATATTCTTTCTGAATACTCATATATTGTATCTGCTGATTAATTAAGCTTTTCTTAATAAAATAAATTCGAAGCTTGGTCACATTTTGCTATAAATTCAGATTTATTACGGTTTTGATCATTTACATTTTATGCAGAAATTGCTAATGTATTAGATGGTGCAAAGTCACTGTGTGAATTCTGAATAAACTAAAATACTGAACTGGATGTCCACTGCTCGGGCTTGAGAGTGACAGATCTGCTTATTATAACTACTTCTAAAAATTTAATCACTATAAAGCATTATGGTCAGTAATCACCAGTTTAATGGAAGTATAATGAGGTGTAAAAATATCAAGAAAAGATGCCAACTTTGACTATCCCTGGTTCTGGAGAGCTGTAGTCCAGTACTTTGTATGTATCATTTATAAATGATCAATGATTAAAGACTTGGATCATGTGGGCTTTGATCAGTTCAGTAACGTAATTGTTAAATTAACTCAGGAGTGGTCATCTCCCACTTTTTCGATGCCCTTAATTGAATACATCACCAGCTCCAATGGTCAAAATAAACCGTTCCAAGTGTTTGGAAATGGCTAACTTTAAACCTGCTGGAGTGGGAGTCTTCGGGACCGCCGTTGGACCCAAGTGTTAATTGGCACAGCGTTCTGTCAGAGCAGGGTTATCCAAGTCCAGTCAGAGCTCCTGCAGTGCCTACCGTCCAGCTGAGACTGTTTCTCCTTCTCTGCCCTGGTGTCAGACCAAGCTGATTACAAACCAGCCGTACGACGAAAGTTTGGAGGTGAACGACTCGGAGGAGGTGGCCAGTCTGTACACCCCCACTCCACGAGTGCCAGGTGAGCAGCCTCAGACCTGCTCTTTATATTAAAGATGAGAGTGGTGTGTTCAGATTCTGAATATTAATAAATTGACCATGCTCAATACTCAAGCTGCTTTGGGATTTTTTTCAGTCGGTATACTGTAATATAGAAATAATCATAAATTGTTTTAGGTTTGATTGTGTTCCAATTTTATCTTTCCTAAAACATACATTTTTAGATATTTATTAAAGTTAGTCTACTAATCCAAGGCAGAGCCATTTTTTAAAACAATTCCGGGCAGCAAGGATTTAGCGATAAGCAGCATGTATATGTAGTAAATCTTCAATCACAGGTGGAGTGTAGCTTTACTGAGGCTGTTCACGAACAAGGTCTCAATCTGCATTTCAAAATACTTGGAAAAGATGAGCGAAGGTGGAGAGTTGAAAAGAAAATGAGCCTGGGAGTCACTGCACGAGATCCTTGTCCATGTTGTTGTTTTTTTGTGTTCCAGGATTCAAGAAGGCTCGAGGACAACTGCAGGCCATGGCCAACAACAGCAGTGATGAGTTTGAGGAGGACACCAACAAGGTACTAATGTTAAAAAAAGGTTCTTATATACCCTTTGAGCACAACTCAGTACATGCTGGCAGTGGTAGTACTGTACATACCACATGGTTAAAATGAATTCCAACCGCATTGACTGTTGCTTAATGTCTGACGTGTAATCAGCGTGTATTTGCATGTTACATTTGCAGTACAACCTCCTTAAATTACTATCTGCAAGAATTGTGGCAGATATAAGTGGTGGTATTAAAAAGCACCTCATTCACATCTGAAGGGCAGTGCTCATCCTCTGTACTGTGACTGAGGTACAATGTGTCTTGAAAAATGTGTAAACAGAATATTTGCCTATTAAACTGCAGGGAAAGAAGGTCCCTCAGCCTCCTGGACAGCTTGGCTTAAGTGAGAACGAGGAGGAGGAGGAAGATGAGGATGATTCTGATGAAACAGAGTCTGATGAAGAAGAAGGGGAACATGGATCTGCCCCCGAAGGGTGAGCGGAGGAGCAGTTGTTTTTAAACACAGTGTCACAAAGAGATTCTGACTGCTGCTTTACAGGCGGAAGACCAACACCAGCCCCAGAGGAATTCACTTGATCAATTTCTTGTAAAAGCATTTCTTGCATTGTACTTTATAGAAGTGACCACATTTGACAACCCTGCTACCAATGATGAGCTATTTTGGCAATTCATTATCATTTAAAAAATGCTTCTGACTGAAAAAGAAGAGTAAAAAACGTGTGCCATTTTGTGAGAACATTAGCCCTCAGCCTACCAAACCTACCACTTGACATCAAGTCACCTGAGCCACAGATATTTTTCAGGAACCTTCCTGTCATCTTGAGGTGCCTTGACACTTGCCCAGCTCTGTATTCTTGTGCTCTCGGAGGCTTGCGGACCCCCTGCAGGATCACAGGGGTCTTGGGGAGGTCCCCTTCTAGGGTGGTATCTGCTCAGTCTTTTCTGCTCTCCATTCTCCCCTTCTCTTGCCACCTTTACCCTTCCCCTCGTGATGTTTCTCTATAGTTTACTCCATGAGGCAGACAATTTTCAGACCAACTCCTTAAGCAAATAAACGGTTATTAAAAAATAAATATATTCTTTAAATGTATCTCATGCTAAATGTAGAATTAAATGTCGAGTTACCATTGCATTTTAAAACCCTCAACTATTTAAATTAAATGTGCAACTCCCAGTGATGTCCTTAATTTTAGAGCTTATGACCCTGCTGATTTTGACCATCTTCCCGTGACTACAGAGATCAAGGAGCTCTTCCAGTACATCACTCGGTGAGTAAAGCAGAATTTAGTGACTTTTACTTTTATATTCAGTTGGTCCTGTGTCTTTTAATAAAATTAATGTTCTTGGTCATACAACTGTGACAAGCTGTAAGGAAATTAGTGAAATTCAAAATCGCAAAACAAGCTTTTTTCTCTTTCTTCATTTATAGTTATACCCCCCAGACTATTGAACTGGATCACAAGCTGAAGCCTTTCATCCCTGACTTCATCCCGGCTGTGGGGGACATTGATGCTTATCTCAAGGTAAACTGAGCAGAGAGCTCTTAGACACTTGTGATGGCTTAGATTAGTTATACATATACTGTATACTCATCCTCGAATAACCTTGTTTCAAACAGCTCAAAGAGCTTTGGTGGAAACCAGCCTAAATTGCACTCCTCACCTCCTCTGTTAGGTTCCAAAACCAAGAGCTTGATCAGGACACAAGTATGCTCTCTTGTCTGAGAACCATCTAAATACAATACAGTACTGCTGAGAATTAGACTGCGATGAGTTGGTCACTCTGGCTCACTTCAACTGAGCCGAGCAGATAAAGCAGTCTATAAATATATCATCCTTTTAGAGTGGAATGCTCTTCTTGGAATCTCAAATATTTGGCATCGCTGCCTTGGCATCCTGTCTTGATTTGTCTTTTTTGGAACTTCGTGCCATTGTGGTCCGTGATGCTGGGGACGGTCAACAGTGAAGGCTTGGAATAAACCAGTGTTGCACAATGCCTTCTTTGTCATAACTGTGTGATTTGTGCCTGGGTGTCCCTTGGTAGAAAGACCTCTGGTGGTGAGGGGGTACTACTGCATGATGCTGATTTTTTACACTGCCATTACTGTGAGCCTGCAAGCACCTGGCTGACTAGCCTCAGGCCCGAACTCGGGAAACCAATGTTTTTAATATCTGGAATTAACTGAGAAATGTGGGGAATCTAAAAATACTTGCAAGAGTTTAGAATAATTATAATTTGAGGGTTAACCTGCGGTTGGAATTTCCAGTCACAGCAATTAAAAAATTCACAGAGTTGCCGAATGTTCTGCATCGCTTCTTATTTCTGACTCTCTAGTTGCAACGAACCCCTTTTAAAGCAGTGCATCAATCTGAGGCTGAGCTCTGTGTCTTTAGTCACTGACTGAAGAAAGTGAATGTAACCCAGTTCTGTTTAACCATTAGGTACCACGTCCTGATGGCAAGCCAGACAACTTAGGCCTGCTGGTTCTGGACGAGCCCTGCACCAAGCAGTCCGACCCCACTGTTCTGTCCCTTTGGCTGTCGGAAAACACCAAGCAGCACAACATCACGGTACTGATCACCACTGACACTTTCTCTGCACTGTCCACAATATCATTATCACAGATTCGGCACACTCGAGAAGCTGTACAGCTGACCCAGATTATGCATTCAAGGGGAACTGCAGTCCCAGTTTCTCCAATTATTAACTCCCAGTAAAAGAGTCAACTGGGTGAGAGCGAGAGTTGAGAGAATTTTGGCGTGAGGCGGCCCTTCCTGCTCACTAGTCCCTGTACTGACTGATGTACTGTGATGGACGAGTGGATAAGTACATGGTGTGCAGCTGACATTCCACTGCAGAACTGTTCCAACGTGATCTGCGTGCAGACTTAACAAGTAAGTTGTGTTTATCAGCAAAACCATCTTCAGGTTGAGAGCAATGTTTCTATTGGAATAAAAGAGATGTATCCACAAGCCTGCTTGTTTCCAATGTAAGGAGCCCAGTTCATGTCACCAGAAGTGTTGTTGCCTTGTCTGATTCGCAAGCAATGACGGCAATATGGCGCTGCACATGCATGGCAATATAGTCTATTGTGTGATGTAAATTGGAGATTTTACATGTTACTGTGTACATTATAGTTTCATTATGGTGTGAAATGTGCTCATCAATTTCAATTCTTTCAAACCCCAAAATATAAAAAAAAGCATCACAGTTACCCTTTAAGTTCTTATTAAGGGCAGATTTATAAACCCAACTTATTCTATGTAAAGACTCAGTTCATTGTGTCTAAACTGACAGCTGTTTAAAAAACTGTCAGAAATTGGTGCTGAAACAAACGCAGCCCTTTTTTTTTAAAGATGTATGAAAGCGTCACCGCTTCAGTGGACATAAGGTTTGACAGGCTGTTGTGTCTGTGTTTGTTGTCATCAGCAAATGAAGGTGAAGAGCTTGGAGAACCCGGAAAAAAACCCGAAGGCAGTTGATAACTGGATTGAGAGCATCAGTGAACTGCATCGATCCAAACCCCCAGCCACTGTGCACTACACCAGGTGGGTGCAGCGATCACCCCTTCCAGTCACAGCGCACTGGGAAAGGCCCCTGTGCTGAATTCAGCAGTAGCTGAATTTGAAATATATTAAACTGTTGGTCTACAGGTAAATGTGCACACAAAAGCAAATGTGCACACGTTTATGAATTCCAGAGATCAGTGGCTACATGAGATCAGTTTTACTTGATCGTGCGGTGAAAAATAATATGCTTTATATGTTTTAAGGTTTTCTTTTGTTTATTCAGTCGATGTAAATGTAACCATGCAGTTACATTTTAATGGCTTCCTAATTTTAATTTTATTTGAGTGTTATTTCAGAGAGGATATTTATTCAGGTTGTGTTCATGATGGGTTTTTTTTATAGACAATACCTTGTTTATTTTTTAGCTCTTTGTTTACCGTTTTTCTTATTTATATTTTCCTGTTATTATAGACCGTCCAAAATAAAAAAGACATAGACTGTTCTATCGTAAAGCATAATATTGAGCCCTTAATTCAACAAATAAACACAAACAACATAAATGTATTATTATGTCAATTGTAATTGTTTTATAATAATGTTTGATAACGTTTCTCCAGTGTTGTACAATCCATGCGCTTCATGACTATAATGCTGTGTGCTATGTGCAGGCCAATGCCAGACATTGACTCTCTGATGCAAGAGTGGCCTCCAGAGTTTGAGGAGTTATTAGGAAAGGTAAGACAGTCACCAGACTTGTCTCCCTTAAACTTTGCTCAGTTGTTGTTTCTGTTTGACCTTTGCCACCTTTTCCCTTATTCATTAGCAAGAATGATCTGCTTAGACATATACACAGTATATAAACAATCAGGTTTATATTGTCTTTTCAACCAGTGATTTATTTAGGTTAAATATTTCTGTTCTTCTCTTCTGCTAATCTCTTTAAGACTGACTGCTGTTATTGTAAAATAATTCCGGGATGTGAATCATCATGGGTTAATATGTCAGCAATGATGCTGTAAATTTTTAATGAACTTTTAGTGTAATATTTTAACAGTTTTGTGGAAATAAAATTTGAGTTTCACATGCTGGATAGTTCTGACTCATACGTATTATTTCTGCAGCTCAGAAACAGGCTTACAGATTTTTTTTTGTCTTTCTTAAGGTCAGTCTTCCCACAGCTGACATTAACTGTGACCTGGGAGAGTATATAGACATGATCTGTGGTGAGACACGGCTTTCTTAAAAAGATAAACTTAGAACATTTGATGTTTGAGCTACGCTTTTAACAGTATGTTCAGTATAATAGCCTTCACTGCATGTGTTTTCTCATGCTGCATTGACTTTGTAAATCTGTGGTTTTATGAGTGCCGCTGAAATGATTTTGTTTTGTGTTTCTCACAGCTGTCCTTGACATCCCTGTGTATCAGAGCCGAATTCAGTCCCTTCACGTGCTGTTCACACTGTACTCCGAGTTCAAGAACTCTCAGGTGCTCACTCTACTGTAGCTTTATTCAGGCTTGTGTAGAATAAGTAACAGACGTGATTTTAGATCAGAGCAGTGGCTTTTCAACTGCAGCCATGCACTTAATTTTATGGTGAACTTAACAGCCTTTCAGGCTACTGAATACTATTCTTAGTGAATGCTAAGTATTTTTTAGAGAGTATGTATACTGTACTTGTAAGACAAGTAACAGGTTTGAGTTGAAACTGCTTTGAAAGATATTAAGCTTCTTTTTAGACCTGGGTTTTTCATTGTGTTTTTAAACAGTGAGCACTTTTCAATGGAGAATTAGGCAAATTATTTTGTCTCATATGCAATTCATGTCTGGTATGTAAATATCTAGATGAATGTACTTTTTAGGTTTGGTGTACTGTACTTTTTCACCAATTGTCAGAGTATTTATTACAGTTTTTTTTCTTACAGAGGGTAGTATTACACAGTACATTCATATATATAGTTTCCTCTAAGTGTGTACCAGCAGGTAGTGCTCTTTTGTGTAGTCCAGATTTTGAAACCCAATGTCCCCGTATAGAGACCAGCAACACTGCTGTAGGATGTACTGTTCCTCTGGACTTTTGATGACTATTTTTATGACTGTTAAAGTAATGGACTTACCCTTGGTTATTAAAGATCCATGGCAGTGTTCGCAGCTATAGGGATGCTAACCCAGGTGCTTTGGTTCCACCTCAGGTTTGCTCAGCCTGGCCTACCCAAATTTTCCCAATTAATTAAAGTGAAGCAGTTTCTGGCTTCTCTGTCTGTTTTACTCTGCTGGGTGCTGCACAACAGTGGGGATGAAGTGGACCAACCCCTATAAATGAAGCACTTTTGGATATGTTGAGATGAAGAGCACTATCCAAATGTGGTGCATTAATATTAATTATGAATCTCAAAGATCTGGAAACACTGTGTACGGGGAGGCTAGGATAGAGAAGAGTACTGCTGAGTTTGTCATGCTCTTCAGAATCGCTGTTTGAGGGAAGCAGTGTGTGTACGGTGGGTGTGTGTTACCCGATTTCGTGAGGTTCAAGTGGGGAGCAGTTTGCTGAGGAACAGATACGTGCTAATTCAGCACTGAGAATTGGAAAAAACAAACAGCGTTTTGAAGAATTACATTTTACTGCTTAGTGATTCATCATTTCGGCGTACAGATTTGATATGAAATGTAGATTTGGGCGAGACTGCACTTTCTTTTACTTATTAGTCATTAATCATTTAATTGTTGTCGTTAACCTTCAATTTCGTTGTCTGCAGCACTTCAAGACATTGGCAGAGGGCAAGAAATCCAGCACCTCCTCAGTACCCCGCTCGGGCACAGGGGACCCCGAGACACTGACCTTTGAATAAGGACACTCCCTCCATTCTGCTTTGTTTTCTTTGGTTTGTTTTTTCTCTTTGGATTCCAGGCCCCTTTATCACAATATAAATGATTTCACTGCAGACAGACTGTGATTGGACTGGACTTCCTGGCTCCTGTGTTTTGAGCTTGTTATAAGATCCTGGCCTGTTGGACCCTGGGGGTCTCTGTCTCCTCTTGCACTCCTCTTCATCCCTCTATCTGTGCTGGCCTTAATGCAGGACTCTAACCAGCACTGGTGACTAACCACGACTACCCACTCTTCCACACGAAGAGACAGAGCCCCTTTGACATCAGAGGAGAGGGAAGGGCTAGAGTTCAGGAAGCTCAGTTCCTTCAGAGATTCTCAGGGTTGTTTCAGATCCAAAAAACAGGAATTTGCTTTTCAGGAGCAGAAGAACTGCTATTAAAATGGACAGGTGAACATTGGTATGTGGGTGGGAGCTAAGCCAGCATTGATCCATAATTTTCATTGCAGTGGGAAGTTGTGAGTTTATTTGTTTTTTTCAGGAGAGAAAAATGAGATTTTGAGATTAATATAAGATTTAATAATAAATCTGAAAACGGATTTCGGCTTTTAAGCACTCATTTTTTAAGCGTCTGCTTTCTGTTTGGTTTTAAGAATTTATTTTTCTTTGCTCAATAATGATGTTGTGCTTAGGTGTGAACATTATCATAAGACAGGCCTGTGATGCGTGGGATGTGTGGTTTTGTGTGTTGTCACTTAAAAACACTCGCATAAATATTTATTTATACACATTTACTTAGCAACTGAACAGTTATTTCCACGTTGTTCTCACAGGAAGCTTCTCAATGTTTGAGCTTTTTGTCACACATGCACATTTTTATACGGCACTTGGCTAAAGGTTTTATACTGACTATTTCCACATAAATACATAAAAAAACAGTTCTTCTAATGCTTTAAATGTACCTGATTTTCTGACTTGTCTATTAATCATATAGTATTTAGAGACCAGACTTTCCTCTTTGCGGTACAATAGTATAGAAGTTCTTATGTATTATTACATGTGTGTTTAATATTTTCCACCAAATGAGGGGAGTATCTGCTGAAACTGGTTTACATATTCTGGCATTCAGTGTGTTCTCAGTTTGCAGGTTTGGGTCTTGTTTTCATATTTCATCCAAAACCCCAGTGATCAATGGGAATCTGAAGCATTCAGAGCAGAAGTTGATAAATGCTTCTCTTTTTAAATATTGTACTTCCATATGCTTCCATATATTTTTTATATTTTTATATATACCTTTATAAAAATATTGTTCAGAATGCCATTTTCTGTACAGAGGGTTAATATTCTGATTAATGTCCAGAAACTGTTAATTTAATGTGAATTTGTTTCGTAATATATTAATCAAAATAAAAGTCACTTATACTTAAAATACTTACTTAAATACCATACTTAAAATTAGGTGACATAACATTTAAAATGTTATGCAAAACCTAAGATTAATATTCCTATAAGAAAAAACAAAAGGGTTGTTCTTTCTTCTGAATCTTAGTTGGTTTCATTCGGATTAGATATTAAACCTCTTAAACCCACTGTAATAAGCACACTGTAATAAAATAAGTGGAATGGTGACAAAAGCCTGTTCTCTCTCTTGGATAAAGTTTCTTTGCATGTGCATGTAAATGTAAGATATAATCTTCCCACTGCTTTCTTTCTGCATAATGCTACTTTTTAATGTTTGTCTTGGCCACCTGCTGGAGAAGCAGGACTCAGTAACTCGATTCATTTTTTTTCTGTTCTTCAATATCGGCGGATAAGATCACGGTTTAATTTTCCCCTTATCTTGTTAAGAAATGATGACTGTTGAATATTTCTGTCCTCTTAGCTAGAGTGTATGTGTACAGTATATGAGAGCCATATTTTACTTGGAGTCGCCAAAACAGTTTTTGACTAGAAAAGCCTCTCATGCTTAATGTAATACGCTTAAGTATTCTCTGTAAATTGGAGCACAATCCTCTGTGCTTTGATATTCATATTTTCTTTATTAGTTCAGTTTATTAAAATGCCAACCTGCCCTACACATACATAATTCTTATTAACATACGTTAGTCATTATTGTTAAGGTTTAATCCATAATCTTTAAGGTTTTAATGATTACATTATTTTATCAGAAAACTTTTCAAAGACACCTTTCAAAACAGAATGATGGCTGCATATATTAAAGACATGAAAAGTCAATTTCCCTACTAGAGAGATTGCCACAGTTGGCCTGTCACACCTGACACTGCTCTCTTTGTGTGTCAGACTGTAGAGGAAGTGGGAAGGAAAAAAGCGAATCAATTAATCTAATTTGATTGAAATAACATCCTGACAAGTACCGCGGATGGGAAGATTCTGTACAATAAAAAGCTGCTCGGTCTCCTGAAAAAAAAGCTGCGTTTTGCCTGTATTTCCACCTGTTTATTAAATAGGAGGGAATATTATGGGAAGGCACTGCCATAACGCAGTGGGTAAGAAAGATTTTTATTAGCTCTAAGCTCTGATGGTTCTGTATATTCCTGCAAACAGTTTGCATTTGCAGTTTGTACGGAAGCTGAAATGTCCTGCTTGTTCAATTATGCTGGATTGCTTTTGAGAGACTTTATGTTGGAATGGGAGGTTGTTGGTGCCGTGTTGTTTGTGATGTTGCTGTGTTGTCTTGATTGGCAGCTTTGGTGTTGCTCATAGTGCTTGTTGCTGTGGTACCAAGGACTCAGCCCAAGAGCCTGCACGATGAGCTCCTGTTGAAGAGGAAGAATGTCCTTGCAAACCGATGGTTGGGGATTCTGGGCACAAAGAAAAGGTGAGTCTGCTTTACCTAATACCTCTTACTGTACTCCCTACAGAGGCTACCTTCTTCTTTCAGAGACTTTGAAGATTTGTTAGAAAAATATAATCACTTCTGTTTTTGTCATTTTTACTTTTTTTTTCTTATGCTTTTTATAGTGCTCTGTATGGTTTCTATAATCTAAACCTAAAATGGGTAACTTGCACTTACTGAACATCTCACACATTTGCTTGTGTTTTGCCCAGTGTTTTAAGTGTTGGAACTTATCGTTTTCCATACAACTGCAGTATTCCTTGCTTTTGAGCTCCAGCGCTGCACATGTAGTACTTGTAGTACTTGTCTTGCATGAGAGTTCGTAGGTCTGACCGAGGTTAGGACGAGGTGTGGGCTAGTGCTTTGAGCTGGAAATTTGTGCTTATGGCTGAAGGAGAGGTTTTGTAGTAGTGCCTGTCTTACTACTGTCTGTGGGAGGAAACCGGAGCACACAGAATTTGTATGTTCACCCTAGAACATGGGGAGAATGTACAGACACCACCCTCAGGGCCAGAATTGAACCCAGGGCCCCAGCGTTGCGAGACAGCATTACTAACCACTGCGCCACTGTGCTGCCTGAAACCGCAAGTACAGCTTAGTTCCATGCTGCAGAAAAACAGAAAAGGCATTAACCTTTACCTTCTGCCTTTGGACCCAACACATACTTATGCATCTCCCCTCTCTACCATAACATGCTGATGTTAAATTAAAGAAATTGCCGTGCTTGTTTCTCCTGTTTCTCCCTGTTGCAGGTGCACCTGCTCCTTCTATTCACTGGGCGAGCAATCAGCAGTGCGGATTCACTCTTTTCAGACTGTGAAAACGAGCCCCATGCTGCAGTGCACCAGCTGGATGGAACAGCACTGCACCTCTGCCTGTATTTCCCAGGCCATGGAGTTCGTCCGCAGCAAGTCCTGCCTCGCCAGCTTCTTCTGCAGCCGCCTGGGCACCCTGACTGAGCCTGTTGTCGTAAGGCACTGTCCTAACTGCACAATTCAACTGTGTTTCAGCCCCAAAGTTCATAGGCAACTGTGCGGAGGGTCCAGGTTTTGTCAAGACTCGTAAAATCGTCAATTGCAAGCCCAGTCCTCTACTGCAAAGACCGATTCTCATATATTTTATTTAGTACAGCTGTGTATTGTGTATGTCATCAAATGTCTTAAAAATCAGGAAATACCAAATATCTTATCGGCATCAGCAATTTCCTCGAAACCTCCACTAGGGTTTTGTACTCTTACAACAGCTTCTCTTTAATTAACCTTAAACAAAATGTTGAAAATTTTAATCACAACAGCTGCTGGTACGTTATACATGAGCAGTGCATATCTACTAGCCAATAGGAAGTGTTGCCAGTCTAATCTAACTAACTCATTGTCAGGTGCTCCTCGTCGTTATTATTTGTTGCTCTCTGCAGCGTAGTTGAGCATACATGCAGGCTGCCATCCAAGGTGTTGCTGTCTTTAATTTATATATTTTATTACCTGCAGAACGGGTTGTGAGTGCCGTGCATCAGCCCAAAGTTCTCTGTAGTGACAAACGATGCCACTAGATCTGACCATCATAATGACATCCTGTTTTCCATTTCTTGGTGCGCTAATTCTGTGTTCATTGTTAATTATTACACCTTTGCACCAGTCCGAAATGCATTCACCTATCCATTTTCCATTTTTACCGCTGAATCATCCAGTTTAGGTTTGTGGGGGACAACGGCGGCGAGGCAGGGTACACCCTGGGCAGGACACCAGTCCATCGCAGGGCACACACACACAAACTCACACCAGGGCCATTTTCCCCAGAACAACCTACTAACCTCCCAGTACGCCCCTGTCTATCTGTTGCAGGTGGGCCTGGTCATCCAGAACAGGCAGTGCTTCCAGCCCCAGGTGATCTGGCACACTGAGTACAAGCTGATGTGTGACAACGGCACCTTCACTGGCTCTGGGCTGCAGGACTGAGATCACAGCCCGCTGTGGGACTCCACGTCTCCCTGTGGTGGCGCTGTGAGGCTCCTCTTCGTGCTTCTTGAACACGTGTTTTATCCCATCTCTGTAAAACCGCTGTCAGAAGGATCTCTCTTCCCCAGTCGCTTTCTCTCCCTTGAGTTGGATGAGGTGTGGTGAGGCCAAATGAACCCCCCGCCGCTCTTTAAAAAGCAACGCAGGACTGATGTGCTGTGTTTTTGTGCATTGCTGTGTACTTTGCTTATGGGTGAGTCAGTTCTTGCCAGCTCCCCTTTTGTGCACAGTGAATGAATAACTCTTATTTCACTTTATTGTGTCACAAAATAATAGAAAAGCTTAGCGCCCCATTACACTTCATGAAGAGTTGAGGAGTGCCTGCTTGTTTAGTATTTTAAAATTTAGAACAGCTTGTGCCCTTGTGTTAAAAAAAAGGTCTAGTGATTTTGTAAATCCCTTTATTGAAATGAACCTAACATGTAATAAGACTAAGATACTAGGAGATCTGGATGTTTGTGTGCAGGAAAACATTCAGTATTAACATTTTGATGTGTTCTTCAGAATAAAGGCATGAGTTAGTGTTGTGTCCCATGTTCTAGACAGCTGTATGACAATGTTTTGCTTTCCTCACTT